TCAAAAAAGTACTCCAGAGTGTTGTTCAGCATGGGGGTGAGTAGAAAATGAAGGCTAATCATGTTTTGGGTGTACTATTCCTTTAACAAACAGCATCAGTTACCATAGCGATAAAGATGACACCTAGCTGTTCATCATCAGGTCACCAAGTGACCATGAACCCATTCCAGCTCTGGATCCACGCAGAGAAGAAACCAACGCATGGATGAACTAAATGTTCTTCAGATGAGCCAAACTAAACTGAAGTCCTAGTGTTTGGATGAAAGGAGGAGCGTTTCAAAGTTAGCTTCCAGCTTCAGTTAATCCAGCCTCCAAATCTGGGTGTAGAGATGGACTCAGATCTGAACCTTCAGAGGCTCATAAAGACAGAAACTACATGTTCCTTCTATCACCTGAAGAAGATCTCCAGGATTAGAGGACTAATGTTGAAAAACTGATTCCTGCTTTGTTCATCTTTAGAATCGATCCCTGCAGTGGTGTCTTCACAGTTCTGCCTAAAAAGTCCATCAGACAGCTGATCTAGAATGCTGATGTCTGCGTCCTCATTAGAACTAAGAAAGTAGAGAACATCAGCCCAGGTCTAAAGTCCTTTCTGCGGCTCCCTGTACCTCAGAGAATATACTTTAATATCCTTCTGTTAGTCTATGAATCACCTTACAGGCTGGCTGGCAGTGGATCAACAGCCAGAGCTCTCAGGTCTACTGGATCAGAACCAGAACTAAACATGGAGCCACAGTTTGTAGTTATTCTGCACCACTGATCTGGAATAAACTGGAAAAAAGCTGAAAACCTTCAGCTACTTTAACCCAGATTACAATATATTTATTCAGATCCTTTGACTGAACTATCTGAACATTATTAGTTAAGTTTCAGTCAAACTTTCATCTTCTATCAATATTTTATAATAACCTTATTTGAATTCATCATTTATTCTCTGTAATCATTCATGTTCATTGATTATCTAATTACCCCTATGCAGCTCCAGTGAACTTCTCTATTTTCCTGTTATATTTCTTCATGTTCAGCCCTTTGAATCCATTTACTGCCAAATGTTTAATGAATTAAAAAAGCTAAAGTAGAAAGAAAAACAAGGAAGGATGTTCGGAAACATTGGAGCAGATCCGCTGAAGACTTTTCGAGGTTCAGATCACAGAAAGCAGAACAGAGAAGCTTAGATGTCTGATCATGGCTTTGTTTTTAATAAAATGTTGGATGTCATTCTGAAAGGACGGTTATTAACCACCTTTGGGGGAATATAGATTTAATAGATATATCCTGCAGCTGATCAGGGAAAAACAATCCAGATAAACAGCAATGATCTGGTTCTGATTGAGTCGGAGGTGGATTAGTTTGACTCACACCGGCCGGCAGATCACCAGGTCGCCCTTGTTGGTGCCGTAAGCCAGACCCATGGCCGGGTCCGGCAGCCAGCGGGCCGAGTTGATGCTGACGTGGCGTCTCTGGTCTGGAGCCATGGGGTAAACCACGTTAAAGACCATCTGAAAGTGAACAGAACCCGAACCGTGAAGGAACCAACATGTGCAAATGGACAGAAGAAGAAGAAACTTTGAGATCGGATGAAAACGAGGTGAAAAATGATCTAATCTGCCTCACCCTCATGGACGTCTCTCCTCCATGCGGCTGCTGCAGGCGGAACACCTGCGCCACCATGTGGTCAGTGGAAGGATGCAGGAGGATCCTACGGGAGGCCAGGCCCACCATGACGTAGCATCCCATAGGAGACAGGCTGACAGAGATGGCATTTGGACCTGTGGGGGAGGGGCAAACCGCTTTAATGGGGCGGAGTCAGCAGAGGATGAGGAAGAGGAGGAGGAGGAGGCCGTACCGAATCTCTTAGTGTAGAGCATCTCGCCCAGGTTGTGTGCAGCTAGAGAGTAGATGGCCAGGATGCCCTCGTCAGGAAAGCCCCGCTGGCTGCTGGGAATGAAAACCGCCAGCAGCTGGCCGTCTGCTGAGATGTCACAGCTGGCGTCGTTGTAGATTTTACAGTTTGGCACCAGAACGTTGACGGAGGCTGGAAACAAAGACGAGGCGGGAAACCAGGTTCTTCATCAGGGGAACAAAAACCAACAGAAACCTCAGAGATCAGAAAACACTGAAGGAAAGAGACGCTTGGAAGTTAAACACGAAGAAAGACGTTCTGCTACTGTGGTGCTACTGAGAGCATTTAAAGGTGCAGTAGGAGACGTTTTCTGACGCATTTTTTACAGCGTGGCTTGAAGATCTCCCAACAGTGAAACAGAAGGTCTGAAAGTGAAACTAAAACAAATGGTCCCCGCTACAGTGAGAAACCAATGACTAACCCCAACCAATCACAAAACACAGTCTGTGGTTCACTATTGGTTCCTGACACGTCAATCAGGGTCGTCTGCTTGTCCCTCCCCCTGCGTGCGTACACTGACACATGAACGAATCAACTACTCAATGCTCGTGCAGGCGTAAGGACCAGTGAAGTCACGTGAACTCAGTCACGTTACCTAGCTCAAAGCCATGTATGTTGTGCATTTAAACATTTTGTCAGATTAGCTCTATACGGTACTAATAGTGATTCCCGTGTGTTTTTTGTTACTTATGACAACGATCGGCCAGCAGCTACCCAGCTCGACACCTACAAAGCAAGGACGTTTTATGCCCCCTCCACCTCCACCCCTGTCCGCTATTCTGGCTTCACTGTACCGTATGTTGAAGTAAACATGGCTTTGACCATCAAAGCCCATGCTGTCAATGCAAGGCTTTAGCCACTGTTATGTTGTTGTTAGCTCTTGTCAGG